ATGCCGAACGCCGAACGCTGATCGAGGTGGTTTTTGGTCTGGGCAAGGACCAGGGTTTTTAGAACATTAAAGCTTTATTAAAAAAGTTTATTTTGATGCACAAAAACGTTTTATGATTTTGTAAAATTATTTTGACTCTTTGAGAACCGAGACTTGAATTGATTGTCGGTTTTGATCACAATAAGACCGACTCGACTAAGTCTTCAATTCTTGATCTTTGTCCTTGAGTCTTTTGGTCTTGTTCCATGCCATTCTTCACGCCTTGAGTTGTTCAACGAAACTCTTCATATCCACAGCGGTTTGACAATTATCAAAACTTGTCAGAAATGAACACGACTTTAGTTTAACGTAATAAAAAGTGTGTTCCAACACAACCACCACACACAATAGCGGTTTTATTCTGGGAGGAAGGTGCCCATGTTCTCCAGTATGGTAGGCTGTCACTATTACCTTAAGGACAGCTCTGGCGACTCCGCTGCCCTTCTACGGTGATCTCTGTTTGTGGATTTTGATCACAAGTTCCACGTCCTAGTTCGCTGCTTCAATCCAGTGCACAAAGTCTTCATTATCAAACAAGGCTTTTTGAATATCGAAAGTTATTTTATTTTTATTTTATTTTTATTTTATTTTTATTTTATTTTTATTGTAATTAATCCGAATAGATTATAAATTCGAATTTATTTTATTTTAATTTCTTCCGGGGCTATTTATTTTCCACGTCCGTTGTAATCAGTACTATTTCTTTTGTAACACAAACTTCCCATCTGCCATTTTGATTGAGTGCAAATTACTCAATCGTATGGGAGATTTTACCTCGTCGTCCTCTACGACTTGATTTGATCGACATCGTTTTGAGCATATTTGGGCGTGGATCTTATTGCCCACAATGGAAAGGAATTTCCTTCTATTGCCGCTTCCTGAAACTTAGGCCCCGCTCCGTTTAACTTATTTTTTCCTGCTTTTTTCTTATTTTTATTAAAATCAGAGATCTAATCCAATCAGATGTCTTTAGATCAGATCAAATCCCATCAGATCAGATCCAATCAGATCAGACCATATCAGATTAGATCCAATCAAGAATTATTAATATTAATATTAATATTAATATTAATACTAATATTAATATTAATATTAATATTAATACTAATATTAATATTAATATTAATATTAATATTAATATTAATATTAATATTAATATTAATATTAATATTAATATTAATATTATTATTATTAATATTAACATTAATATTAATATTAATATTAACATTAATATTAATATTAATATTAACATTAATATTAATATTAATATTAATATTAATATTAATATTAATATTAATATTAATATTAATATTAATATTAATATTAATATTAATATTAATATTAATATTAATATTAATATTAATATTAATATTAATATTAATATTAATATTAATAAATATTAATATTAATATTAATATTAATATTAATATTAATACTAATAATAATATTAATATTAATATTAATATTAATATTAATATTAATATTAATATTACTATTACTATTAATATTAATATTAATATTAATATTAATATTAATATTAATATTAATATTAATATTAATATTAATATTAATATTAATATTAATATTAATATTAATATTAATATTAATATTAATATTTGAAACTTTCGTGCGACTATAAATTATGTAGAGAAAAATAAAATTATATGAAGCACAATTTTTTTAAAAAATGAAAGAAAATAAACTTTAGAAACAAGTTAAATAAAAAACTGAGAAAGTAATCCTTAATTATTAGACCTTAGAAAAATTATTTTAAAAATGTTTTTACAATGTCAATGTAATTCTACTTTTAAAACACATCTTTATTGCTACATGTAATTTGAGTTTCTAAAGTTATTACATTATAAAATATGAATGAAAAAATATTATTACATTATACACTTACATTATAATACTAATGATTATTCTAATATATGAATCAACTAATTTTATTTCATTAAAAAATGATTATAAAATAAAAAATATTGAATATATTATAACATGAATTATCATTATAATTTTCAAAAGTTATATTATAAAATCAGATCAAATTATTGATTTAAATGTTAAATCAATTTATAATTAATCAGATCAGATTTAATCAGATTAGATTGGACCAGATTGGATCAGATCCAAACAGATCAGATTCGATTAGATCCAAACAGGTCATATCAGACCAGATATAATCAGATCAGATTAGATCCGAACTACAAACAATTAGATCAGATTAGAAAAAATAAGTTGAATGGAACAGAGTGTACATAATTAGTTGTTTATAAAATAAAATTTTACAATACCTATTTAAAAATGTTTTACATTCAATAAATTTTTGAAATAAAACTCATTATTTTTTATCATCTAAAATAGTCTACAAAAAAAATAAGGGGTGCTCTCCCAGGACCCCGATCAATGGTGCCCCATCTATTTCAATTTCTGAATCCGCTATTGCTCTTTAGTTTGACTCCCAAATAACTTGATTTTCTTGTGCGGCTTGTTAATCATTACGAGCTCCACCATTGAATGAATCGGGTAGGATTTCATAGAGAATCCAAGGTACTCCGTAATATATACTGTTGGAACACGGGTTTACGCCTACGATGCACTAAACCGTTTTGATAACGAATGACAGGTTTTGATAATGCCAAACCATCGTGAAAACAAGATCAATTGAGCAAATCAAAGGCGAAAGAACTTGGTGTGATGATGATTTGAAAACCAAAACCAAAAACCAAGGACGAAGACTTAGAAATTAGTTGAGGCGGTCTTAATGTAATCAAGACCGGCATAAACTTCTAAAACTTGGCTCTCTAGGTTAATTGCATCAAAATGTCTTTATGCATCATAAAAATTGCTTTCACAAGTTTTTAATAAATCCAAAACACTGAGTGTTCGCCCAAACCAAAAATCAAGCCATCCGGCGTTCGACTTTCAGAAACCGGCATTCGGTTTTCAGAAACCGGCGTTCGGCATTTGGTTATCAGCGTTGGTTTTTGGCATCCAAACCAACCAAGTGGTTTTCAAGATTTTATGATTGGTTTTTACTTCTGGGAACTTTTAAATATTTCTCCAACAAAAACACTTCAAAAACCACCTTTCGTTTTTGGTCGTTTGGTAAAACCATGCGAAATGGCATAAACTTGGCTAACCGTGGTTTTTACTTAAATGACATGGTTTTTAAGATGTCTCACCCGATTTCTTTGAAAAATACATTAAACTAATGTTTTCAACACTTGGTTTTTATTTTGGAGAACATTGATTTTTGACATCGACTTACGGCTTGACTAACCAGCCATGGGTCTGGCTAAACAAGTCCAACAGTGATGTTAGAGTAACCAACAACGCTGTCTGGCATTGGCAACTGAAAACCATGGTTTGGTGTTAGGTCTTTCAACAGTAATGTTGGACATTATACATCGCTGTTGAGCCAAGGTTGAAATTCCAAAAACATCTGAAACAACGATGTAGACATCCATACATCGATGTTCAACCTAAGCCAAAAGAAAATGCATTTGGCAGAAAGTTTTTGGATAGCGCAGTTGACCTAGCAATAGCGATGTCTGGCCATCCTTCTTCCTTCAAAGTCAGGCTTGAACAGCAATGTTCAAGTAATGGACATCGATGTAGGCACCTGACCGTTGGAAGAAATTTATGGCTAAAACTTTCCATGTTTGGAAGTCAACAGCCAAAACAACGATGTTGCCATTTTGGACATCGCTGTTGGCTTGAGTGTTGCTTCCCAATTTTCAAAAACTAAGCCTACAACAACGATGTCCAAGGAATGTACAACGCTGTCCGGCTGATTTTCAGCAAGTCCAATTTTAATCAAATCCCACAAATTGTGCCATTCACCCCCATTCAAGTCCTGCCCATTGGAGCCTATTTTTCTACTATAAAATGGGGTGTTTGGGTCTGCCTTTCACATCACATTACTTCACAACTCCCATTGTTCATTGCATTACATTCACATATTTTCCATAGCTTTTCAAGAGCCATTTTTCGTGAAGTTCTTGACGTGTTCTTGAGCATTTTTAGTTACTCAATATCCACTATAAAAGAGAGTATTTTTCTTGAGTGATTTAGTGTTTTAGATACTTGATAAGAGAAAATATTTCTCTTGTGTAGTTCGAAGGAAGGGTTGTTTCCTTCGAAGGATTGTTGAGGTTCTTGTGACTCAAACTCTCAAGTTGTACGGGTTTGTTAAGCACCGTTAAGCTTAACGTTGATAGTGTAGCTCGAGAGAGTCTCTCGGGAGGCTGGACTAGCCACAAGTTGTGGTGAACCAGGGTAAAAACGGCGTGCCTTCTCCTTACTCTTTTATTTTACACCTTTAAATTTTTATTCCTACGTTATTTCGTTTCAAATGCTATTCACCCCCTCTAGCGTTGGGACGTTTTTCTAACCATTGATATCGGAGCCTAACTCTCTTCCAGACTTAACCGTTTGAGAGTAATAAGATCATGGGCTCTTCTTCTAGAAATCTGTACGCAGGTATTGGCGAAGGACAATCTACCTCTAGGCAACCACTTTTTGATGGTACGAACTACCTCTATTGGAAGGAACGGATGAGAATCTATATCTATTTCACCAACTTCCAATTGTGGTTGGTTATCAAAAATGGCGAGGAAATCCCAATGAAGAAAGTGGGAGAAACCACGGTCCCAAAGACCGAAGATGAGTTTGATGCCGAAGACATCAAAAAGGTGGAAAACTATGCAAAAGCCATCAACATGCTCTACTGCTCCGTTAACCCCAATGATTACCGGAAGATCTCCTGTTGCTCAACCGCCAAGGAGATGTGGGACAAACTTGAAGTGACGTACGAAGGTACGGATCAAGTTCGTGAGGCCAAAATTGATTTTCTCACCCAAGAGTACGAAATGTTCCGAATGAAGGAAGGTGAGAAAATTAATGACATGTTTGATCGTTTTTCAAAGATCATCAACGATCTACACGCCTTGAAAACTCCAACAAGGATCTTGTAAGGAAGATCCTTTGTAGCTTGACTCCCGAATGGCGCTCCAAGGCTGATGCTATCTACGAGTCAATTGGCGTCTCCAACGTCACAATCGATGGGTTAATAGGTAATCTCAAGACTTACGAATCTACCATACTTAATCCATCGTTGGACGAACAAAGAAAGAAGGGAATAACTCTCAAAGCCACCAAGGAACTGGTGGAAGAGGCTTCAAGAGACGATGACAACGAGATTGGCCACATCAAGTCGAGGTGTCCAAAAGCCAAGAACGGCAAAGACAAGCCCGACTTCAAGAAGCAAAGAGCTAACATCTCATGGGGTGGCAATTCCGGCGACGAATCAACCAACCAAGAGGAGGACAAAGCTTCCAATCTCTACCTCATGGAACACGAAGACCAAAACGACGACGTGCACGAGGTATGTACCACTTTTTTCGACTCTTATACTTTTGAAGAAATGCAAGAAGCACTTCGTGAACTTTATGATGAATTTTTTAGCGCTTCCAAAACCAACAAATACTTAAAGAAATGTCTTTCTACACTTGAAAACGATTTTGAAAAATTGGAAAAAGAGAATGAGAAATTAAGACAAGAAAACAAATTTTTTGGAAAAAGAAGCGCTGACAAACCGGAAAGTTCTTCAAGCGAATGTGAATCTTGTAAAGCTTTAAAAGAACAAGTCACAAAACTTAAGAGTATGGTTAAGAAATTTAATACTCCGCACAAACATCTTAATTTACTTCTTGACACTATGCATTTTTCTAAGGAAGGAATATGTTTTAATAAAAATGAAGCTAAGGATAAAAAAATGTTGAGCAAACACCTAGACAACCACCTAAGGATCAACGTAAAAAAGCTAAAAATCAGGATAATAGAAAATCTAGTCAACCTAAGGACACTAGACAACCTAGACAAAAACCTAGGAATGAAAATGTTCATGTTAGACAACCTAAGAAAAATTATCAAAATGACTTTGTGCATAAAAATAATTTTTCTCAAAATAGAAGAAATAATGTTAGAGTACCTAGAAAAGATCAATTTCAAAATATTCAAAGACCATCTTTTTCACAAAATATGAACAATATTGTTAGACCCCTTAGGAACTACTACGAACCAAGGCACATGTACAAGCCCAATGTAGTTTGCCATTATTGTAATAGGATAGATCATATTGCCCTCGTTTGTTTCACTAGGCATAGGCACCTATCATAAAATCAAGCACACTACCATCACAAACCTAACACACGAGGACCCAACGTAAATTGGGTACCTAAAACTCATTGATGTGTTTCGTAGGTGTGCTTGAAGGCATCAAGTGTACTTTGGTACCTTGATAGCGGATGCTCCATGTACATGACCAGAGATGCATCCAAGTTTCATCAAATCAAACCCGCTAAAGGAGGAAACGTAGTCTTTGGAGACAATAGCAAAGGAAAAATTATCGGCATTGGTTCGGTAGGTAAATCCAAAGACACCTCTATAGATAATGTCTTGCTAGTTAAAGGTCTCAAACACAATCTCTTGAGCATAAGTCAATTATGTGACAAAGGAAATCGTGTGACCTTCGATTCAAAATCATACACGGTAGAACGCCTTAGTGACAATAAGGTTATTCTACGTGGTGATATAATCGATAACATTTATATGGTTAACTTAGACAAATCACTTTCCGGCTTTGCTAAGTGCCTCATGAGTAAAGAGGAAGACACTTGGTTATGGCATCGAAGGGTAGCTCATATGAACATGAACCTTTTGAACAAATTGGTTTCACAAGACTTAGTAATTGGTATCCAAAAACTTAAGTTTGAAAAAGACACCATATGTGATGCATGTCAAAAGGGGAAGCAAGTTCGGGATTCGTTTAAGTCTAAGAATGCTGTTTTAATGTCTAGACCGCTTCAACTTTTGCACATGGATCTCTCTGGTCTTTCTAGAATGAAAAGTTTCGGTGGTAATTACTTTGCATTTGTGATTGTCGATGACTACTCTAGGTTCACATGAACCTTATTTCTTACTCACAAAAGTGAGGCATTTCATGTTTTCAAAAATTTTCTAAAGAAAGTTCAAAATGAAAAAGATACAACCATAGTAGCCATAAAAAGTGATCATGGGGGAGAGTTCAAACGAAATCTATTTTCTGATTTGTGTGACGAACTTGGCATTGATCATAATTTCTCAGCCCCACGTACACCACAACAAAATGGAGTGGTGGAACATAAAAATAGATGTCTCGAAGAGATGGCTAGAACTATGATCAATGAGGCAAAAATCCCTAAGTATTTTTGGGTGGATGTCGTGAGTACCGCGAGCTACGTTTTAAACCGAGCCGTCATTCGACCGGTACCCATGAAAACGCCTTATGAACTATACAAAGGGAAAAATCCAAATCTTTCCCACCTTCGAGTCTTTGGCTGCAAATACTTTATTCATAATAACGTTAAAGATAACTTGGGAAAATCTGATGCTAAGTCGGACGAAGGAATTTTTCTTGGTTATTCATTACGTAGCAAGGCCTATAGAGTCCTTAATAAACGTACTTTGACTATTGAGGAGTCCCCTCATGTTGTATTTTCTGGAGATAATACTTGCTTGGCGAGAAAGAATATTTGTGATGATCTTGCATATTCGCTCGAAAGAATACACGTTGAAGACGATGAAGAAGACACACAAAAATACACCAACCCGTAGCCGCAAACTGAGTAAACGCCTCAAGTGACTACCCAAGATGAAGAAGATCAAGAGGAAGCCCAGGAACAAGATGAAGAAGAAACCGAGCTTCCCATCGCATGGAGAACAAACAAAATCATGTAACGCCACAACCCGAATACCCGAGTTTATTCGAATATTCGACTCGCGGTGTTAACGGGTCTAACTTTTTTTTAAAAATAAAATGGAGCATTAAACAAAACTTATTTATTTATTGATAATATCGGAGTAATATGTTACATGCGGAAGCAATAAAACTTGAAAATATTAAAACTTTATCAAATTGCCATAACATGACTTATTTTAATATTGATAGTAACATTTTGACCCACTCGTCCAATGTCCTCCACATTAGTACTGTCTTCCGGCAAGGTTATCATTTTCTGATTGTGTACCTAAAAAAATGGAGCCAACCCGATCAGCAAAAGCTGAGTGGTACCAATTATAACAATTGGTACAAAATATAATAACGTAAACATACACCTTTTCTAAAAATTCTTACAGTAATAATATAAACACATTTGTTTTATAAAATTGTAGTATCAAGAAAATCAACTTTTCCTTTACTCTTTGTTTAACTAGGACTTCAAGTACTTCGGGTACAAGACGAGTCCATTATCTCTTTCTGGGACTTCAAGTACTTTGGGTACAAGACGAGTCCATTATTACGAGCTCGTACGTACGGCAATATATAGAGGGGTACTGGTTAACCCTTTTGAAACCTTGTGAACCATAATTCACAACTTAGAAATTATTAATACTAATATCCCCCTTTTTTTTTCTTCTCTCTTTTTTTTATAAATAAATTTAAGATCCATGTTCCTCAATATTTTCATTATAACTTCATATCATAAAATATATATAATTTAAGGTACAAATCATTCCACTTTAAGTATATACGTACATATTATTTTTAATATATATATACATATGTTTATTTCTTAAACATAAAATCATTCCTATATACGTATATATATTAAACTTAAATTTAATAATGGTGTACAACGTAGCTTTAACCCTGGGTTTGGATCAAGATTTCCCGGCGACGTTGCCGGCAACATTTTCCGGCGAAGTCACCCCCAACTTGTCTCATCATCATTTCATTTTGAAATTTCGTTTTTTCTTAGTTAAATAATTATTAGGAACACTTTAAGATCAGATTATAACAATTTCTTTGTGGAAATATAGGTTAAATTGTCGCCGGAGTTTGGCCGGATTCCGGTCATCTTCTCCAATGAGGCGCCTATATTTCTACGTTCAAAACCCAATTTTTCTTACATAATTTATCTAAATACCTCTTATGAGATATATATAAATGGTTTGGACGTAAAAGTTTGTAGAAAACGCATGCCGCCATCGAGACCCATTTTCCGTCATTTGTTTTAAAATCGGGTGTTCGGAAGTTTGTTTCAAAACCTCATTTTTCACTTGTAAATCCTTTAAAATGATATCATAGAATCCTTTTGGGAAACATTTTAAATAATTTGGACGTAAAGCTTGTTAAAAATTAAAGTCGGCGGTGTTCTCGATTATTAGTGACGGAAATTAAATCAATTGAATATATAACAAATATAGCATATATTAACGTATTATATTAAGTAACAATTGTTATACGGGCGGCGGTACTCACCTTGACGTTTGAATAAGTTGTTTGTGGTGGAACGTGGGTTTTCGAGCTCCGACGGTCTTCTTATTTTCCTCTTCCGGCAACCACTATTTCTTCTCTCTTCTTTTTTTTTTTTAAAAAACTACGTTTATTCCTAGGGAAGTACTTACGAAGGGTATGTTTTTTTTAACCTTGATACATGTAGCTATTTATAGTTTTCATTTCTTAGTAAGTCTTCAATTCCTAAGTAATGATGAAGATATTTGTTTGCCAAATACGTGGGTTTACCCAAGTGAGATTAGTGTCTCTTTTTTTTTTTATAAAAAAAACACCTGCCATCCCTAGGACCTATTACGGCTATTAGCCACTAGGTAAGTAATTAGATAAGCTTAAACAACTAACATTTATTTACCCCTATATATCTTATCTCAATTAGTTTTGTTCTAGTTCAAATTTTATTCCAAGAATATTTTCACCGTTATTTTAAGGATTAATATGTCAAACTGATTTATGTGATATAATTATTAAATTTATTATCTTAATTTCTAATCTAAACTGGTACGATCACCAAACAAACATTTTTTTTATCGAAATACCTAGACCAGTTTTCGGAGTGTTACAAATCATCTGCTTGATCAGGTAATCGGTAGCATCAACCGAGGGGTAAGTACTCAAAACTCTCTTAGGGACACCGTAAGACACATGGATTTTGTTTCTCAAATTGAACCTACAATCATTTCCGAAGCAATAAACGATGAACATTGGACCTTGGCTATGCAAGAAGAGCTAAACGAATTCAAACAAAATGACATTTGGGAATTGGTGCCAAGCCCCGATGATCGTACGATTATTGGTACGAAATGGGTGTTCCGTAACAAACTCGATGAAAATGGCATAATTAATAGAAACAAAGCTAGGCTTGTAGCTAAAGGCTACAATCAAGAAGAAGACATTAATTATAAAGAAACCTATGCACCCGTAGCACGTTTAGAAGCTATACGTTTACTTCTTGCATTTGCCTCGTCTATGGACTTTAAACTTTATCAAATGGATTTTAAGAGTGCATTCCTCAATGGTTTTATTCAAGAGGAAGTGTATGGTGACCAGCCCCCCAGTTTTTAAGACTTTGAGTATCCCGATTACGTCTTCAAACTCAAGAAAGCACTCTACGATCTTAAACAAGCACCCCGTGCTTGGTACGAACGTTTGAGTAAATTTCTTTTGGATAGTGGTTTCCAAAGGGGAAAGGTTGACACTACACTTTTTATCAAGAATAAAAACAACAATATTCTTTTGGTTCAAGTTTATGTAGACGGTATTATTTTCGGTGCTACTAACTAGTCTTTTTGCAAGGAATTTTCCAAGTTAATGACGAGCGAATTCGAAATGTCAATGATGGGCGAGCTCACACTCTTTTTGGGACTTCAAGTAAACCAAATGGGAGATGACACATTCATTTGCCAAACTAAGTACTGCAAAGAACTCCTAAAACGGTTCGAAATAAACAATGCCAAAGCCATGGCGACCCTGATGAGAACATCCGACCATCTTGACAAAGACGAGAAAGGTAAGAAAGTAGAGGTCAAAAATTATCAAGGTATGATCGGATCCCTTCTTTATCTTACTGCTAGTAGGCCGGATATCATGTTTAGCATATGCCTTTGCGCAAGGTATCAATCATGTCCGAAGGAATCACATCTAACGTCAGTGAAACGGATAATGAAATATCTTGTTGGCACGGTTAACGTTGGACCGTGGCATCCCAAGGGTTCTTCTTGTCATCGTGTTGGTTACTCTGACTCGGACTTTGTACTAGTGGGACATGCCAAGTACTTGTTACATGCCAAGTACCAAGTACTTGGTAGTTGGACCGTAAAAGTACGAGTGGGACATGCCAAGTACTTGGTAGTTCTTTAGTCTCCTGGTTTAGTAAGAAACAAGTCAGTGTTGCGTTATCTACAACCGAAGCGGAATACGTTGCCTCCGGTAGTTGTTGTGCTCAAATCCTTTGGATGAAGCAACAACTCGTGGACTATGGCCTTAGTATTAATCACGTTCCTTTTCGTTGTGATAATACTAGCGCCATAAGCGTGACGAAAAATCCCATTCTTCACTCAAGGATGAAACACATTGACATTAGGCATCATTTCATTAGAGATCATGTTCTCAAAGGTAATGTCGAATTTGAGTTCGGTGAAACACACAACCAATTAGCTGACATTTTCACAAAACCTTTAGACAAAGAGTCGTTCTTACGCATTCGAAGTGAACTCGGAATCCTTGACTCCACGATGATCTAAGTTGTGCATTTTATCTTGTTAAACGTTTACTAACTTGAGCGACGGAGAACTTTTTCTTTTTTGCAGGTACTGCGCTCATAAAGTCAGGGGGAACCATGCAAACATCGCTGTCCAGAGGATAACATCGCTGTCCATACAGCGCTGTCAAGTTAACCAACAACGATGTTGAAGGAAACACTGTCAACCTCACTTGGACCAACAGTGATGTCCACTAAACAAACATCGCTGTCACAGGGAGTTCTATAATTTAATGATTTCCAGAAACTTTTGCAACATTGTTGTTCATTTTCACAAATTTTTTCTAATCTTAAAACAGCGATGTATCCTTTTGCAACAATGTTGTTCAAAAGGCTTCACCTTCTTACTCATTTACAGAAACTTTTGGAACATCGCTGTAGGGATTTGAACATCGCTGTCAAGTTTTTAAATGGTTTTAAGCTTATCGCAAAATAGCGATGTACAGAGGCTCAACATCGATGTCCTGACAGCGATGTAGCCTACTGGACATGCTGTTCAACTTGAATTTTTCAAAAAAATTATCCGTTGGGCATTGAATTAAATGCCCCAACAGCCATATTTTTGAAATTTTGAACGTTGGAAACCTTTTTTCCTATATTTTGGGACCCCATCTCTTCACGTTTATACACACAAACACCTATTCTCTATATCTACTTGCATAATTCATCAATCTCTCCCAATTTCTTCTCACTTTTCTCCAAAAATGGGCAAAGACAAGAGCAGGGATGCCGCTTCCAGGAAAAGCAAGTCCAAATATGGGCTCCGGCAACGACTTCCGACGAGAGATTCTACTATCAAGACGGATCATATTTGTGGTTCGACTCCGAGGAAGAGCGCACACGCTTCCTCACCTTCTTCTCCAAACGGGTTGTGGCACCACCGAGGATCCTCCCGGAACGACTCCTGGAGATTCTTGGCTACGATATGCTTGACGTGGAACTGCACAAATTCAGGCTATGGCCGTTTGTCTCCAAGGCCCAGAATGAGATCAACCTGGCGCTGATTCAGGTTTTCTACTCGAATCTCCGGCGTGAAGATGACGTTCTCTATAGCCTTGTCAAGTCCACGCTGATCGAGCTCACGGTGGAGTAGCTTGGTTGCATTGTCGGCCTCCCCTACCAAGGCGACGACATCTCTGCCTATAGTAGAGAGGATTGGGTGCTCAACAACGAGGGCCCGGTCCTCAACGAGCTCGGCATCACCGACCTCATCCGCCATGCCTCGGGTCGCCCACCATTTACTCCGTGACCCCCGAGAGCCGCCTCCTTCTCTACATCGTGTCCCGCATCATCAAGCCCTAGAAGCACGGGCACACGATCATGTCCGGCGAGGACCTCAAGCTCCTCCATGCCATCATGCATTCGGCGCCAATCAGCTAGGCAAAGTTTGTCATGATTTACATGACGGACGCCACGTCGCTCACCCATGACCACCTCCTCCCATACGCCTTCTTGGTGATGGATATCTTTGAACGGTTCAAGGTCACCACCACGGTTGGCCCGCTCACCAAGGCCACAAAGATTTAAACGACCAACGACTAAACCTTCAAGAAGCGGTCAGACAACGCCTCCCCTGCCACTGTCGGACGACGCCGCACTGCCACTGGCCCAGCCGCACCTCCTGCCTGCGCCAACCTCGCCTCCATCGCCGACTCCCTCAACCGTTCAACGCTAGGGGTACACCATGAACGCTTACTTCCAACGCGTTAACTATATCCCCCCATCGTACCAAGCCACGTTTCTTGGACAAGAGTACAGTGACGAAGACGAAGAGAAAGACTCCTACGCTTCGTCAAGCTCCCCAGATGAGGATGAGTTCGATGATGCCATTGACGGTGATGCAATGGACGTCAACGACGATGAGGAGGAAACTGAAGACGAAGAAGACGAAGACGAAGACTAGGCCGCACCTAGATTTTTCTTTCCCTTTTTCTTCATTTGTCATGTTTTTTTTCAATTTCTTCCATTGTACTCTGCTTTTTCCCATTTCAATAAATAAAATTTATGTTTTATCTTTTTGTTAATGTGAAAAGGGGGAAGAGAAGGGCTATGCATATACTTAGGGGGAACGTTTCTAAAATGTTTACTTTTAAAACGACAATTTTTTAGCATAAATTAAGGGGGAACTTATTTTTCTCACACTTATTTAAAATTCATATATCCCTTAGTAGGCATATCCCTATCCTGTTTTCCATTATCAAAAAGAGGGAAATTGTTGGAACACGGGTTTACGCCTACGACGCACTAAACCGTGTTCGTTTTATGATAGGTTTTGATAATGTCAAACCGCCATGAAAAGAAGATCAATTGAGCAAATCAAAGGCGAAGGAAATTGGCGTGATGATGATTTGAAAACGAGAACCAAGAACCAAGGACGAAGACTTAGAAATTAGTTGAGCCGGTCTTAATGTAATCAAGACCGGCATAAACTTCTAAAACTTGGCTCTCTAGGCTAATTGCATCAAAATGTCTTTATGCATCATAAAAAATGTTTTCACAAGTTTTTAATAATTTCAAAACACTTGGTGTTCGCCCAAACCAAAAATCAAGCCATCCGGCGTTCGGCTTTTATAAACTGGCATTTGGTTTTCAGAAACCGGCGTTCGGCATTTAGTTACCGGCGTTGGTTTTTTGGCATCCGAACTAACCATGTGGTTTTCAACATTTTATGTTTGGTTTTTACTTTTAGGAACTTTTAAATAGTTCTCCAACAAAAACACTTCAAAAACCACCTTTTGTTTTTGGTCGTTTGGTAAAAACCATGCGAAACGACATAAACTTGGCTAACCGTGGTTTTTACTTAAATGACATGGTTTTTAAGATGTATCACATGATTTCTTAGCAAAATACATTAAACTAATGTTTTCAACACTTGGTTTTATTTTAGAGAACTTTGATTTTTGACATCGGCTTACGACATGACTAACCAGCCATGGGTCTGGCTAAACCAGTCCAACAGCGATGTTAGAGTAACCAATAACGTTGTCTGGCGTTGGCATCTGAAAACCATGGTTTGGTGTTAGGTCTTCCAACAGCGATGTTGGACATTATACATCGCTGTTGAGCCAAGGTTGAAATTCCAGAAACATATGGAACAACAATTTAGACATCCCTACATTGATGTTCAACCTAAGCTAAAAGAAAATGTATTTGGCAAAATGTTTTTGGACAGCGTTGTTGACCCAGCAACAACGATGTCAGGCCATCCTTCTTCCTTCAAAGTCAGGCCTGAATAGTGATGTTCAAGTAATGAGCATCGATGTAGGCACCTGACCGTTGGAAGAAATTTATGGCTAAAACTTTTCAAGTTTGGAAGTCAACAACCAAAACAGCGATGTTACCCTTTTGGACATCACTGTTGGCTTGACTGTTGCTTCCCAATTTTCAAAAACTAAGCCTACAACAGTGATGTCCAAGTAATAGACAACGCTGTCAGGCTGATTTTCAGCAGATCCAATTTTAATCAAATCCCACAAATTGTGTCAATCACCCCCATTCAACTCCTACCTGTTGGAGCCTATTTTTCTACTATAAAATGGGGTGTTTGGGTCTGCCTTTCACATCACATTACTTCACAATTCCCATTGTTCATTGCATTACATTCACATATTTTCCATAGCATTTTGAGAGCCATTTTTTGTGAAGTTCGTGACGTGTTCTTTAGCGTTTTTAGTTACTCAATTTCCATTCTAAAAGATAGTATTGTTCTTGAGTAATCAGTGTTTTAGACACTTGATAAGAGAAAGTATTTCTCTTGTGTAGTTCGAAGAAAGGGTTGTTTCCTTCGAAGGATTATTGAGGTTCGTGTGACTTGAGCTTTCAAGTTGTATGGGTTTGTTAAGCACCATTAAGCTTAACGTTGATAGTGTAGCTCGAGAGTCTTTCTCGGGAGGCTGGACTAGCCACACGTTGTGGTGAACTAGGGTAAAAACGGTGTGCCTTCTCCATACTCTTTTATTTTACGCCTTTAAATTTTTATTCTGTGTTATTTCGTTTCAAACGCTATTCATCCCCCTCTAGCGTTGGGACGTTTTTCAAACATATACTCCTAGCCTTCAGGCCCATTTGGTATTAGCGTTACAAGTTAGTGTTAGTGTTTTGGAAAGGCTATCCGGTGATAGCCTTTAGCGTTAGCATTTTCTGAATTAATCTACGCCATTAAAATTTTATCTAAAATGCTAATACTAATCAAAAATGTTGTTTCCAAACAAGGCCTTCATGTTTTAAAAATATATTCTTATAATCTTCACATATTTATTTCGTCTCATAAAGATATATCCCCTTTTATTTTTTTTGAAAATTTAATGGAGAGATAATTTTGTATTGATAATCCAAAACTACCTGTGATGTGATAGACAAAAATAGGATGTGATGTATAGATTAATACTAAAAAAGTATGTTGTGATAGGTAGGATAAAAATTAATAGGGGTAAAAATAATTTTTAATAGTAATAGAAAATACATTGTGGGACAAGAAAAAAATAGAAAGAGTTTTTGGGAAGGGTGGAGTAATAAGACAGTACTCCGTAGTTTGTTTTGACTGATTTGTGTAAATTTATATTCTTCATATGCTCGGTATTTTAATGTAAGACAAGAGTATTTAAGACTATAAAATAATCATATAAAAAACTAAACATTGGAGACGATGAAAAAACAATTGTAAAATTTATGTAGAACGGAATTGGTGAAACAATAAGAGCCACATGGGCAATTTTTTTATAAAAACAACACATAGGTTGTGAAGTTGTACGGCGTATTACAACGTAGTAATGAATTATTAATGCATAAAACAAAACAACATTGCGAGATAATATAATAAAAAGAAACCACATCACATTTTGGGAATTGAAATGAGAAAACTAAAGTGTCCGGCAACATGAAACATGTGTAACATATAGTTTTGAAACCCCATTAATAAATCATTCAAAATGATTTTGAATTTCTTCAATGATTTGATCTGTGACTTGAAAGGATTTCGCCAGAAAATCTTTAGGTAATGACAAGCCCTTCCCGAAGACCTGAGCAGCCACGAAGTTAAACCCGGGGCTTTGGCTGTTGAAAGCCGTGATGGTAGTGGCATCCCCATCGCTCGAAACCATGCCAAAGTGAACAAGGCCCTGTGGCACAACAAAAACATCCCCAACTGTACAGTTTTTCGAGTAGACTCGATTTGTTTTGTAACCCGTGGCGGGATCGGCAGACACGAACCCCAAGGTTATGTTGCCCTTCAGAACAAGGGCTAACTCGGTTGCCCGGTTGTGGATGTGAGGCGGGATGGCGGTGCCGGGCAGGTAGTCGTTACGAACCAGGGTCAGCCCGAGGGTGTTGAGCCCGGGTATTTCTCTAACACTTGCGGCACTAAAGGTAGAATTTGGAAATGCCGCTGCGGCAGTGGACCCGTCGAGACCGGATGTGAAGAAATCATCAGATGTCACTTTATTTCGATCCTTGCACGCCAGCCCATTCACCAACACTGCACCCATAATCAATCCATCCAACCAACCACAATATATATATATATATATATACGTGTTATAATCCTCTTACATATCTTCTTACATGAGTTAATTAGCTAGTTATGTTGGGGAATTGGGAGGGATAACAACGCTGTGCAGCAGGGTTAACGTTATAAGATCAGTATACGAAGAACGGGAAGAACGACTTAATAGACTTAGCAGTTTGATATGGAATTCTTTGTCTATGCACTACAAAAGATAGAAAGTGTTGACAATTTTAGTATGAACGGTTATTTTATTTAATTCGATTTACTTAATTAGAATGGATGTGAATATTGATAGACGTTGTTAACGAGTTCAGGAATAACAGTAGCAACAACAACAACAACGACAACAACAACAACAACAACAACAACAACAATAATAGTTGTAGTAGTAGCAGTAGTAATAATAATAATAATAATAACAATAATAATAATAATAATAATAATAATAATAATAATAATAATAATAAAAGTAGTGAGAATAAAATGGAAAATGCACTTTAATAATTTTTAAATTCGTTGTTGGAAGGAACTTTAAGAAGTTAGATTAAACGGAGAGGAGTGACAAAAGTAGGAAGTTAATTTTTTCAACCACAAAAAAGAGGGCGCCACACGTATTATATTCATTATTTCTCTCGTCAGTTTGACATCAGCGTTAGAGGTTAGCACTTTGAAAAGACTATCCTTACAGTATTAGCTTTTAGCGTTAGCGCTTTAGAAATAATCTACCCCATTAAAATTTTATCCAAAATGTTAACACTGATCCAAAACAATATTCCTAAACATGGTCTTTGTATTATCCTGGAATCTTTCTTATTTAAAGGTAAATTGTCAAGAATTTGTTTCACACATATTTATAGGCGTGCAAAATAGATAAAAAAAATCATGTAATTTAAAAAGAAGCAATATCATGTGATTAAAATGATTGATTGTGTCATATTATTATTGTACTCTCTCTCTCTCCTTTCCGGACGCCATCGGTGTGGAGGTAGCCGGAGTTTAACGCCTCGCGGTGTTTTGGCTACGCATGCATGGTCAAATAATTAATGTTTTTCCCCAAAAACATTATAACATTAATGCATCACTCAGAAACATCGGGCCTGTTTGGGAATAGCGTTAGAGATTAGTGTTAGCGTTTTGGATAAAATTTTGACGGTGCAGATTACTTTGAAAACGCTAACGCTAAATGCTGCCCGTAGATAGCCTTTTCAAAACGCTAACTCTAATAGCTAAAGCTATTCCCAAACAGGCTCATCATATATAACATTAATGCACACACAATTAATTAAAGAGAAGTAATATTATAATGCATGCGTAAGTAGTACGTACCCGTAGAAGTGTTGTCATAAACACAGAAGTCTTGGAGAGGGCTTGGATCGTAGGCATTAGCCAAAGTAACCACAAGGGCTAACAATAATATGGCAGCCATGATATGCTTTTTTTCCAGTTATTTAGTTAATGATGGAAGTACATTTTGTGATGGTAAAAACCATGTATTTATATATACAAAAAAAAGAAAAAATTAAACCAGAATTTCTGTGTTTTCACACCTGTTTTTTTGAATGGCATTTTAACTTTTACGCAGTATAAAAAGTTTTCTTTTAACCCCATTTTCTCAATAGCTGTCATGGGGTTGGAAAAGTAGAAACCAAGGAAGCTTCACTTGTTTCTTTTTTGTTTCCATAATTACTGTTAGCTCCATATTTATGACCAAAGTGTGTGCCAACTTTGGAAAAAAGTTTTAGTTTGTTTTTTAAAAAGAAAAAAATATATGAGCTCCATCCCCGAGGGTCCCATCAGACCCGGCCGGACGGTTAATTACTGAGATGAGATAATTTGGATTTCAGTCGCAGATGCTTAGCATAGTTGCCACTCAGCGTAGTTGCTAGGAATCGAACTCGGGTCTATCCCATTGGCACTTCTGTGCAAGAGACATGGGATGTGTCGTGACAAAGAGTTATTAAAAAAAGAATATAATTTTTTTGGAGATTTCTTAACGTTTTTCAGATTTTTATTAACTATTTGTTTCCCAAATTAAATATTTAATGAAATTTGTTCAAAACACTAAATATAGGGAGCATCATTTATTGCACTGAACATTTGGTCAATTCATATACGCAATGCCTAGATCCCATATTACTCCCTTTGTCCTTAAAATATTTTCTCGGTTTTTATCAAATGTTATTTGAAAAGGTAAAAAGAAGTATTCCAACTTAAGTTTGAATTGCCACAACATATGGCATGGGTTAAGGGTATAAATGAGTGAAATGTTTCACTTTATGTGCACAATTATTCAAAAAATAAAGAAAAATGCATCTTAAGAAATTTGTGATTTAAAACAATTATTTCAAACTTACTAGGATTGAATAAATCTTTTTTGTGTAAAAATTTAGAAAAGGATGACACAATATATTGAAGAAATTCCATGCTTTTACAATCTATTCATGTAAATATCCCAGGTTTTATGCTACATAGGACCTTTGCAAGTATTAGGTGCAGGTCTTGTCACCTTTTCTAAAACACTGATTAAAATCCAATTTTTATCTTCTCAGTACTATCCAATCGGATCTGAGGCTCATCGATCATCTTTTCTTTTTTTCAGAAAAAAGAATGACCGATACATAGGGAAGTTGTAAGGTTCGCTTTTTAGGTCAGGCATAAACTTCAAAAGCCACTTTTAACCATTAAAGTAAGCTGACTTTGACAAAACTCTGCAAAGTCCGGTTTAAAATTAGAATGCTGGGTTTGGGTGGATTCCACGAGCCTCAACCATTTCTACTATTCTCTTTTTTTCCCCTACTTTATACCTTTTTTTCTTAAAATGAAATTGGATGTTCCGTTTATTTCTATTTTCTAGTTACATATACTCTTATGTTCTTTTTGTGAGCAAAAAAAAGAGTTAGATTTTAATGTATTTTATAACAAGATTTTATTGGGAGTCAAACTTGGGTGCCATAGGATGTTAGAGATACTTCGTCCACTAAGGCTACTGAACTTATTGTTACCCATGCCACACAGTAAACAATATATATCTACTATTTTAATTTCATTAAAACTTCCAATTGTTTAGAAAAAGAAACATAAGTAGTAATATAATTGTTTTATGAGCTTATAAAAATAGTTTTAAAAATAATTAAAATTTTTTGTGTTTTATCTAAAAATTAATTTGAATACTTATACCTAAAAAAATATTAAAAAAGAAATACATAAAAAAAATTATTGCCATCAATACAAATTAAGAAATATTTATTAATTATTCTTTAATATATTAAAATTAATTTTTTCTTTTACTTTTTCTCGTTTCAATCAAATAAATATAAGTGTGACGTGTTACCTACGAATTACGGAGTAATATATAAGAATACATTACCAAGTCTTTACTTTTAAAAAATATGATTATTGCCTAACTATTTCATTATTTATTAGATATTCATTATTTATCTTTAATAGTGATAAAAAATAATACATATAAGAAATAGAAAGTGTAACAGTATATGCACAATTATATTGAAAAAAGATGGAAGAGTGAAAAACATAAACTAAAATTTATTATTAGTTAAAGACATCTAATAATATAATATAAAATATTTCTTTTAATTATAGTTGATCGGGTCCTTGATCCCCAAGTCGACTGATTAACCCCTTGACCTACTAGCTCTTGATATTTGAATAGATATCGAGTATTTATTTCGCAGTCTGCTAGTCTTTATAATTTTGTTTATTTAATTTATGTAGGGAGTAATTTTTTAAAATAAGACATTTTAGAAATTGATTTAGAGCATGTTCTTTAGAACTGGGAAAAAAAGCTGGATGTTGGAAGAAACTAAAAGGAACTGAAAGAAATTAGAAAAAACTTCAAAAAATTGGAAAACCTAAAAAAACTTTAAAAAAATTTATTTTATTATATTTTTATATTATTCTCATTCTAATTCTTGTTGTTATAAATTATTATTATTATTATTATTATCATCATCATCATTACGTTATCTTAATGAATGCTTTTAAGATAAAAAAGGTATTGCTATTTTTCATACATAAAAAAACTACTTTTGCAGAAAAAATAATTATAATATAAAGTTAAGATAAATATCAAAATGTTAAATTTTTAAAAAGTTATTGTGGTTACGTTGCACTTAAATTTATTTATGCATTATTTATTATAAAATAATATATTTGTAATTATACTGTATATATTACAAGATTTGTTTTAAATATCAGACATGTCACATAATGTAATCAAACCTATTTTTTATTTCATGGTTGACATTTTATTTTCATTGTAACTCTTATTTTTGAAATAAAGAAATAGGACTTTTTTGTACATGTTTTATTTTTTACGCCTATTTTAGTCTTTTTCTCTAAACTATTCTGACTTTCAATTTTTTAAATAAAAATTATAAAAAATGAAAAAAAAATTAAACCTATGTTTTACTCCTATCAGACATGTCACATAATGTAATCAAACATATTGTTTCTTTCATGGTTGACATTTTATTTTCATTGTAACTTCTAGTTTTGGAAAAAAGACATAGAAATTTTTTTTGTACATTTTTTTTATGTTTTACTCTTATTTTAGTCTTAATCTTTAAAATATTTTGAATTTCAAATTTTTTTATAAAAATAGAAAATGAAAAAATTAAATTTTGAAATAAATAAGAATGAGAAAAAGTTGAGGAATAAAGGGAAATGTGAGGGGTCTTATATAAAGTTAGATTAATAAAACTTCTATGTAACTATTTTATCTATAATATTTTAATATAGTTTAAAATATTGATATTAAAAACTTGAAGAAAAAATAATGAGTGCGGATCGTAAAAATAGTGCGATAAATAAAATAATTTATAAACTATAGTTATAAACATAAAAGTTGTAATAATAATAGTAAAATCACAATAAAAATATAGCGTTTTTAGAGTAATTGGTTGGAGAGTCGAAAGAGTTTGAAAGAAATGAGAATAGTTGGTAGAAACGAGAAGAAACTAGAAAAAAACAGGAAGAACTGAAAAAAACTGGAAGAAATTGGATGAAACGGGAAGGAACTGGAAGAAACTAGAATGAACGTGAAAAAACCGAAAGTTAAGAGTTTAAGTCCTAAAGAACAAGCTCATAGTTGTGTGTGGAAATTGTTGAAGTGGTAGGTTTATTGTTATAGAAATAATTTTTAAAAAGTTACGGAATAATTAATTTAAACTTTCGATGGAGAGTTGATGTTGCAATGTTTATGATGGACATGCAAGAATTCCACTAGAAGATCCGACTTGGTAATCGGATCGAATTTATTACTGAATATTTAGAGTTTGAGCGTACAAAACTTGCAGTGATAATGGGCTATGTTTAACTTGAGTGTGTTCATTCCGTCTCTCCCCTAATTATAGGGTTCTCATAATACACTTAAGGAAATTAACAAAAAAGGTATCCCAATCACGTAAAATTCTCAGTAGATCCGTAAAATTTCCCGCCTTTCATACCCTAGCCGCAACTCTCCTACATTGGTTGCGTGCCTATCACAGTCAAGGCTACCAAACCCGGCCCGCTTTCAGCCCAGGCTTTTGTCTCCAAGCCCAGATCCTCTGTAGGCTTTACTGAGCTCTGTGGGTCGCAAAAGACTTCTGGGCTAGGCCGCTCGGTTGACCCAACAGCCCATCACAAGCCCCTCACTTATCATGCCTCGAGAAAGGCCACCTTCGAGGGTTGGGGAGTCTTCAGAGTCCCGCACCTGTCACCCATGTGTCAATCACAGGTAATCGGGTTAGAGCCACTCATCTCCATCGATTTGACAACCGGGCACGATCCCCATTACTGTCATAATTCCCCGTCGCTTCCACTTTCAATTGTGATAAAGTTGCCACACCACTGCACAACGTTGTGTCATCTTCTCCCATCATTTGTTTAAGTCGCACTTCTGTTTCACAACCCGAATCTCCATTTCCTAGGTTAGTTTCTTCCTTAAAGTGACTTCTGATCTTGGTCTTTCACCCCCTACTGATTCCATCCCTCATGGGGTGGACAAACCTTCCTTCCCCGGCCAATTCTCCGGTCCAATTGAGTTTGCTTTGCCGCTGAAAGTGGCTCCTCCTCGCGGGGTCACTGCGGCAACCAAAAAACAACGGCTCAGGAAGCAATACCCGTCCCCCAAACCCAGACCACCCAGTCTTAGGGTAGATCTAGACGAACACATAATGGCGTTGTGCCATTGTCAGGCATCTGATTAGGAATTTGCAAACACAACTAATATGGTGGGACCCTCAATAGAGGTCCTAAGGCCGAGCAAAACCTCCACAGCCTTGCATACCCCTACCGGGTTCTTCACCGTCCACCTTTGTTCACTGAAGTGAGGCTTACGCTTCCCTTTTCATGACCTAATCGTCGAGTATCTTAACCTCCACGATCATCTCCCCTACCAATTAGTCCCTAATTCATCTGATACATGGCATGCTACGTGCTTATGTGTCGAGCGGCTGGGTTACTCCCTCTCTCGAACACTTCATCTTCCCTTGTTCGACACCTTAAATTAGAACCTTATTGTGTAATATGCTTCTAAAGC